CTGGGAGTTGTCTACCCGTTGGAGGAGGAGACAACTGCATTAAATGCGCATACTGTGGAGTTGACCGGTTGGACCCGCAGTTTTGGCAGGTTTCTATTTTTGTATAATATTCTCCAGGAATCTCGGTCAATCATCTGCAATTACTCCACAGCGTATCAGGCTCATTAAATGAGCATTAAATGCTTTCCTTAGATGAAATATCTTCTAACCGTTAGGGAATTTCCCGTTTGATATACGGCCATTGAAAGCAGCTTCGAAATCTTCCAAGTGTCAATCCAGGTCTGATGAGATTCTCTGATGGTATCCTGACCTTGGATTCTGATGAACTTAGATAGGGGAACTCTGATGCTTTTCTGAAGTTGAAATCTGATGAACATTTTCATCGAGCTCTGATAGTTCTCTGAAGAGCAACTCTGATGCTATTCTGATGAGCAACTCTTATGGAGCAGCTTTCCTAGCAGTTCTGAAAGGATCCACATAGAGCAACTCTGTTTGTCGACTATACTAATACTTACAACTGAAAATTTCTAATACATAGAATCTAAGTGGGGGGTACTCTAAGATTCTAATCTAAATATCCTAGCATCATCAAAATCTGATTACATTTATTCCTTACACTGAGGCCTGGAGGGCCTTGAGCTCGAGGGCTTCATCCTCGAACCTGCCGAGGGTGGACCGATCCAGCGAGGGAGTGACACCCCTCAGAAACTCCCTCGGATCGAGGGTGCCGTGCATGATGGCAGTCCCCTTCTTAATGGGGAACTGCACATTCTCCAGGGGCCAGACCCCCTCATCAAAATCCTCTAGAGGGATGGAGTCTGAAGGCTTGCCCGAGGAGAGCTCATCAACAATCACTACAGGGGGGCTTTCTGCCCTGCATCCCCCTTCAGCTTCTTCTTTTCCGGAGGCTTGATGCCCTTCCCGGCGTTTTTTCTTTTGAGCTCCCCCGCCTTGGAGCCTCCGGCATCTTTGCCGGCATCAGCAATTGCAGCCTCCTTTGAATGCCCCTCCCTCTCTTGACCCTCGGGGGTCTTGTCCTTCTTGAAGAAGGCATCTACCGGCGACTGGGTCGAAGGCCCCTCCTCCTCCTCCTCCTCCTCCTTCTCCTCCTCCTCCTTCTTCTCCTTGACCAATTGCGTGGATAGCTTTGCGAATGCCTTCGGATCCATGATTTGTCCTGCAAAAAAAGGGAGTTACGTTATGACAATGAAGAAGAAATACAGGAATGATCTAAGTACACGAAAAGGGGGCCTTCGGTGACCACCTCTGGCGCTCTGGAACCCGCGATCAATCACGGGGTACTTCTCGTCCTTCTCCCCCGCCAGACGATATCGCCGGAAGCCAAGGAAATATAGTTCGTTCGGGAGGGTGGCGTCCTTGATAGTCATCAACTTGTCAGACCCCGCCGGCTTCTCTGCTAGTTTCCTCCCATTCTTCGCGAGGGTCGCATTCCCGACCTTCGGGTGCCTTTTGAAGTTGTTCCTAAGGGCAGCCGGAAAGGGGTTGTCCGCCATACGGATAAAGCAGAATCTGTCCTTCTATCCCTTGTGGGAAGAGGGGACCTCGGAGAAGAGCCTCCATTCCGGCACTTGCTGAAGGTTGGCGAAGCCTCCGGCATGCGAGTGACCTCCCCGGCACAAATTGAAGGACAAGAAGAATTGGTCAAGCGTGGGCTCCACCTTCCGAGAGCGACACAGGGCCAGAAAGCCTGTTAGGTAGGAATGACTATTCGGCGTCAACTGGTAGTGGGCTAACTTAACGAACCTCAGGTACTCTAGCACGAAGGGGTGGATTGGAAACCTGAGGCCCAATTCCACCGAGAGGATGTGGACCGCGAAACACCCTTCGGGGGGGGGGGGGTGTAGCAACACGTCGTCAGGGCCCAGCTCTACCACCTGCGCAGCCGGTCCAGCCAAGAGCTGGGTCTTGAAGTACTCCGCCTCCCCGGCCTTCGTCTGCACCTCGAGGGCCGCAGTATCCAAGTAAGAGTGTCCCTCGGGGATGCCCACCGGCTGCCCAGCGTCCACAACGGCTTGTTTCTTCTTCGGATCAGCCCTCATCCTCTTCTTCTTTTTACCGGGAGCAACCCGCAGCGGCTCAGGATTAAGGGGCCGAGAGCTTCCGCCCTCCGCATTGCTTGGGAGGGGCGGAACAGCAACCGTAACCATCCTCCGCTCCTTCTCGTCTTCCTCCTCAGCAACTTGGACGACGAGGGCCAGTTTCTCATCTTCCACAACCTACTCGAAGTCCTCGGCCGCCAGCTCAGCCCGGAGGTTCTTCTGGACTTCTTCGGCCACGACCAGGTCATCTCCCGCCGAGGGCTGCTCGCTTGAGGACTCTACATCAGAGTAGCTTTCCTGTTCCACAGAGGGCTCCCTCGAGATATCTTGAGAGTCACTTTGCGACGACATTTTGGCAGAAGGGGAGCGAAGGATAGAAGAGAAGAGATGTCTTTAGAAAGCGTAGCCGAAGGCTTCCTAGAAGTCTCTAACACTAGATCAAAAGAGGGAATAACAAAGTATACTAAGGGGCTCAAGAACAGACGAAGAACTGACCTCGGAAACTTGGTTAGATCGAAAGCAGGGGTTTCTCTCTCTAGAAATTTTGGCAGAGCTCCGCTATCTCTCAAAATCGCACAAGGACAAATGAGTTCGGACTTGGGGTATTTATAGGCTCCCCAACCGCGGTTAGCCTCGAAGCATGGGCCTCCGGTTAAAAGCCCATCATTACATGCCACCTCTTCAGCCAATGGGTGGCGCCCGCCCCCTTTCAGCCAACAAAAGCGTGCCACGTGGACCCCCCCTCCAACGGCTCTTTTCCAACGACTCTAATTTGGAAACAATTGAGGCGACCTCAGATGATAGCCTCCGGCTATCTCTTACTAGAGCCTCCGGTGAACCATTTACACTAAACACCTTCGAGCTGGCAGCAGCATAAGCCTTCGGTTTCTTAATGCTGCCACCCATCAGAATATACTCGGATGACAGCCTTCGGCTATCATCAACAACAGCCTCCGGTGGACATATGCAACCCAGTACCTTCGAGCAAGCAGCAGCATGAGCCTTTGGTTTATCGATGTTGCAACCCCACAGAGATATACACAAACATCATAACTCCTTCAGCCCGAACTCGCCTTCGGTCTAAAGGAGTGGGGGACTGGGGCACACCCCTCGGGAATCACACAGAACTAAAAACAAAAATTCCCGCATGCAAAAAATCTACAAATAACGCATGTATCCCTCGGATACATCCGTCATTACACCCCCCGGCAAAAGCAGAATGTCAGAAAATTTCCACAAGTCACTGACAATGATGGAGCAGCCTTCATCACAACGCGTACAACTATTATCTACACTTCCCTCAGAAAACCCTCGACCTGTGGGGGACTGAGGGGAAGCCCTCAGCAAATACCAGTAGCTCTCCGGTAAAGCGTAAGCCTTCGGTAGAGCCAACGCATCAACGCAATTACTCCTTTTCCCTCAAGTACCTATCGGCAAAAGGAGTGGGGGACTCCTGATAGAGTATATGGCCCAGGAACCCCCAGTCCATAGACTCCTACTTTTCCTGCACACGCCCAATGAGCCCAAGACACGCCCAAGGCCAAAATACAGCGGCCCAAGTGCCGAGAAGCCCACAACACGCACAGGGGTGCCTTCGACCTCCTTGGCCGAAGGCTCCAAATCTCACAAGGCTGCCACTTTCGAGCATACGAAGCTACTGGGAGAAAACGACGTGAAACAGTAGCCCTCGGCTACCAGGAGCCTTCGGCACACATGGTGCCTTCAGCATCAGGGAAGCCTTCGGCTGTACAGTGCCCTCGGCTGCACAGAGTCCTCGGCCAACAGCTCAATCATCGAAGATTCCCTTTGGAGACAAGCAACCACCGCATTTAATGCGACATCACATCCACCCACCGCATTCAATGCGGTGCACATGCGAATGCTAGTGCCACCCGATTGAGGTGACCCATCGGCCGTTAGATTATCGCCACGTGTACTCTCATCGCATTTATTACTACTATAAATAGCACCCCCTTTTCCCATTGTAAAGGACCAGAACATCTCGAGTTCATTAATACAATCGTCTCTCTCTCCTACTTGTTTGCTCTGACTTCTCTCTAGGTTATTCTCATAATACCCCCCGGATAAGCTACCCCTCGGGTAAACTGTCCATCACTATCAATGGGCCCGTTTGGAAAACGGCGGATGCTTCAAACCGCTGAATTTTTTAAATGTAAAACCGTTGCTTTTAGTCGCGGATTGGCTTAGATCCGCCAAAAAGAAAACAACACCAATACCAGCTTGAGACATGAATCGGTATGAATAAATTAAATGTGTAGCGGAAATGATTCATCTCAAATCACATGAAACGGTTCATATCTAAATGGGAAAACTGTCAAATAGGTCCTCAAACTTTTATAAAAAAGGTCAATTAAGTCCTTCTATGGGAGGTTCTGTCCGGCCGTCGCGATTTGGGGCAGTTCCCGGTGGAATCTTTTGATGAAATTTTTTGAGCATCTTATTAACCAAGTCTAGTTTATCCCATACCAAATTTCAGCTAAAAATTCAATCGGGAACACATTCAAATTAATTCTTGAAGATAACTGCGCATTTTTGCGTTCTCGAATTAATTTGAATGCGCTCCCGATTAAATTTTTAGCTAAAATTTGGTATGCGTAAACTAGACTTGATGAATAAAATGGTCAAAAAATTTCATCAAAATATTCCACCGGGAACCGCCCCAAATCGCGACGACCGGACATAGTCTCCTATAGAAGGACTTAATTAACTTTTTTATGAAAGTTCGAGGACCTATTTGACAGTTTTCCCTATCTTAATAAACCAAAACATATGAAATGGTTCTAGATCATGAGTTTTGAAATATGATGAATTCTACAAGATTTGTGGTTGAATGTTTATATATCTAGAAATACATCAAAATCTATAAAAATCCATTCAAATAAGTAACGATAGAAATTTCATTTAATATTTGAGAACAACTTTATTTTCATCGATTCCAAATCCAAACAGAGACCCCTAATAATCTGGTTGGAATCAAACTCGATTAAAATCTCCCTTAGTTCAAATAGGGGACGCCCTTAAAGTTGACCAATTGAATTGGTGTTGTATTTCTATGGAAAGGAACAACCGTTCGCATGCGTCGAAGTAAGACGCAACTGTGTGCCGATCGCAGGAACTTCGCTGTCTTCGTTTTCAGATATGGCTGGGGGTTTGGGTTGGCGCGGACCGACTGTCGCACTCGTCATCCTTGTGGCCCTAACATGCACTCTTGTCGGCGCCGATACTGAGGCTGAGTTCGTCAGATCCGATTGTCAGGATTTTTCCACCGAATTGAAAAGTCTCAAGTCTAAGATCCGTACTTTGGGTTAGTTCACAACCTCTCTCACGCTAAACCCTTGTTGACGTTTTTTTTATCTATATGATTCATTGAACAATTTTGTTTTGATATATCACAGAGTATCTACTTATTTGCTAAACCGGTTTGTTTGTCTTTAGAACTATGCTTCCGATTAAGTTATTTGAATTAATTATTAGCTGAACTTATGGCTGGCGTAGTTCCAAGTTTTCTTCTCATAGAGTTCACAATTCAAAATCTCTGGCCGACCCTCCCTTTTCAAAATGATATATTCTAACTAGCGGTTTTAGCATTGTGATGACAATCTGCATTTTCAACCATAAGAGTTTCCACAGATAGGTATTGTTGTAGAGTGCTGCAGAGGAGATGGAAGAAACTTTAGCTAATACTCCCTCCGCCCCCCTATGTTTGTTACAAGAGGGAGTGGCAAACATACCAAGTTAGCCCTCATAAAGTAGCTGGCTGGGACATATTTGTTAAATCAATTTTTCAAATTAACAAAGTAAATTTGAAGGAATACAACTTGTCGTACTACTGTGCAAATGAGGGAACTCCAAAACCGAATTCTTAAACCCACTTTTCCATGTCTGGGCTCCAATTATGATGACGGAACAGGTAGTGAAATACATATGAAATAAGTAGGTGTAGATATGTCAGTAACTTTAAATGTTGTGTCAGAATAGTGGAGTTAATTCCATAACTTTAATTGTTAAGTAGAGATATTTTGGTCTTTATAATTACTGTTATTTGCCAAAGAAGGTATGAGACAAAATAGTGGACGGAAGAAAATGGTAAAACGGGACAATCTTAGAGGGACGGAGGGAATACGATCTATGATACCAATGCATATTACTCTTTTGCTCAGGTTTTCAAAGAATTCCATTGCAGGCAGGTGAACTCTCCACATCTAAGCTTGTAGGATTGTGTTGAAGAAAAAGAAGTTTTTAAGTAGTATGAAATGCATCTGTAAAAAAAAAGTAATATGAACTGTATAGCTAGGGGGATGTGGGTGATCCAGGCCCTGGTACTTCAGCCAAATACTTTTTTGAGTTTTTTTCCATCATTTGCAATGGAGCCAAAGATTTATTATTTTTTGGCTTGAGAATATGGTGGAATAAAGCAAAATGGCTCACTAAACTGTCTGCGCTTCTTTGTTATGAAGCAACAGTCAGTCCATGCAATTTTGGACGCGATTTTCACTATGGGTCATCCGGAAACAGTCTCTCTGTGCTTAGTACAGGGGTAAGACTGCGTGCATCCGACCCCCTTACCCCACCGTAGGTGGGTGCCTTTGTGGCACTGGGGTAAATGAAAATGATGATGATGATGTGAAAATTTAAATAAAGGAATTATTCATCCTTCTCCTATCCAAATTCGAATTAAGGGTGCACTGGGCCCTGTATCCGCCAATGGTAGTGTGAATGTGATAATGAATTATTTCTAAGCCCCAGGCGTGGTTTGGAATGAAAAAATGAAGATTCAAATCAACTATGATGAAGAACTTTTCTTCCCTAGGCAAGAGAAGTTGGCGTCAAGCCTCGATCATATTATTAATGAATATACCTTTATTTATACTAGTCCCAAGAGTGTCGATGGACCAGTACGAGGGTAACTCTAAATCAGTTACAATACTGCTATTAGGAATACTAACTAAAGTAATGCTCATCCCCTATCACCAGCTATGCTCATAATGCGGTCAATCATCCTAAAGACTTCCACCACATCCTCAACATAGTCACATGCCACAATAATGTTTGCTCCATTTCTGGTTTTCTCTCTCCCCGAATATCACACCTTAAAACCTCCAGGACAAATTTCTCATGCATCCTCTCAAACCCACATAGTTTCTTCCACACACATAACGCTGATATTCCTCCTCATCATAATCTCGACTTCCTCATATGATTTTTCCGTAAGAGACTCCACCTTCTATTCTTATCACCACCTCAACTCCCATCATGCCCTCACATATTTGACACCATCACCGGGCAATTGGGGGTGGCACACTGCTTTTGGGGAAACGATTTAGCAACTTTATCATTCTTGTCAACACACTCAGGCCTATGAAGTGTAGCATGCCCTTACATATTTGACACCACCACTTACGAAGAGATGAGGCGTCACTTCTGCGACGACTTAACTGTAGTGATATTCATATTTTGATTCATGTGATGTGATGTGACTAAGTGATACTATTGGCCGTCATGCGCCTACCACAACACCCTCCTCCTTTATCTTGGCTTGGGACAACCCAAATACCAAAGAATGGTCTCATGGCGGAGTTAGATATTATTATTACGCACATAAGAGAAAAGATATTTAGTAGTTCCCGACAAACAGTTTGTCATGCTTTCTCCCGGGATGCAAGACAGATGTTAATGTGCTTGCCTTTTCCTCTCATGCGTCTTCAAGAAATTGTAATCAGTCATTAGTATTTTTATTTTCAATTCAACATGTAGAATCATACGTTGAAGAGAAGGGTCAAGAACTGAATGGAAAGGATCAGGCGATTCTCGACAAGGAGAACACCATAAAAGTGAAATCAGATAGAATCGCGTCATTGCAAGCAGAAATTTCTTCTCTGCAGGTGAGCCATATATCTGTGCAGACATCTTTCTAGTTTTTGCATTCTAAAAATTTTCCCTATGTATCAAGCTTGTTTTCATATACATCGCTTTGGATTTTTAATTTTCATAGAAAAAAGGGTCATTGGATGCTCACGATCAGGTTGGAAAAGCACAAGCACGAGCTGATCTTTTAGAAAAACAGGCTGAGAGCTGTCAAAAGGAAATTGAGTTGAAGAATGATCAGAATAAAGAGCTTGAAGCCCAGAAAATTGTAACAAAGAAGCAACTGTCTGAATCAAATGAAAAAATACTGACAGTAAGCTTCTAAAATTTGCATTTAGTTTCTAAAAAATCCTGTTTTTAATTTTCCTTTGAATGTTATATATTTTTATCTCTCGTGCAACATATTTAGAAGTAGTAGATTTGTTAATTTATTCATTTATCCTGTCTACTGGATATAAGTAGTCTATTATTACATTGTAATTTCTGAAAATGACATCAAACTTCTTTTGATAATTTTCTGTGGGAAAAAGTGGAAATAATTGGGCAATCCTATTTGGGAATGTTCTATACACTATACATTTACTTTTACCTTCTTCATTAAAAGTGGTAATGGTAATATGCCACTCTGGTTCTTGTTGGGAATTATTAAGATATGTTCTCTCTTGTCTGCGTGGTTGGGACTTGATAAAAAGAAAAAAATTGGGATCAATAAAGCTTAAGAACGTCTCTGTCTTATGGAACACAAGGTGGTGTCTCAAGATTTCAAGGAACAATTCCAAAATTAGATATAGAATTTTAATGAATGAGCACTTCTTTCTATACAAGTTCCAAGAGTTCCGGTGGACCAAAGGCTGTCTTTTCTTTTCCTGGAATCCTGGATTACACAGTACGACCATTTGTGTGTGTATCACAATGTGTAGTATTACAACTTAAACCAGTCAGTCCAGACCTAAGCAAACTATACAAGACCCGACCAGACTTCAACATATCACATTAGATGTAAATAGACGAAACCAACAATTCAATCTAAGAGAACATGCCTTAATGGTAAAATATGAAGTATATAATTTTGGAAATTGTGCCACTTATTGATTTAAAATTTAAAAATATAATTTATGTGGTTATGACTTATTTTCAATGTGCAGCTTCAGAATATCATCCTTGAGCAAAAGGCTAAATTACAAAAAACTGAGCGGGCTCTTCAAGTTGCTGAGGTTTGCTTATCTAAGGCATCCCAAAACCAGTTATTTTTGCTTTAAACTTCAATTTTCTGACTTTGTTTCCAATTATTAATCTTAATAGGAGGAAATGGTGAGAGCACGCTCTGACGCCTCCACAAAAACAAGAGAGCTAGTGGAGGTAAGGTGATATGAGCAGAGGAAGTCTTATATAATACTAATAATAATAACAACTATTATTATTATTATTGTTTCTATTACTTTCATATAGTCACGGTAGTCAAACTCGAGATCCTACGTAGGATCGGTAGGAGTCCTGAGGATCGTAAATCATAGGATCGTAACTCGGATCGTAAGATCCTACTTTATATATGTATGTATATTATATGTTATAATATATGGATTAATAAAAAATATATGTATCATTAGATATTGAATAGAACTCATAACTAATAAGAATCACAGTAACATATAAATTGCCAACGTAATAATAAGGTGGGAAGAAAAGACGTAAACCAAAGTAACAAACTAATAAAAATGCAAAATATTTTAAACTAATGTTATGAGGTAATACTTCTTTTATTTTAAATTGAAAATTCCTACGGAGATATTATTAATTACTCCGTATAAAAGAACGAACTCCAAACCTTATAAAGGAACGATTCTAATACTACAACTCCAAAGTCCAAACCTTATAAACAAAAACTGAAAAATATAAATAAAAATTACCTGGAGGTCGACGCAGTAGCTAACAACAGATGAAGAATTGAAGATATGGACTAGACGCAGAAGCAGCAGAAGATATGGAGATGAAAAAATATTAAATTTGAAAAAAAAAAGATTGCAGGCACAGGAGATTCACGCAGGACTGTTTCTGTAAATTTCAAAGCGGCTTCGTTCAACTATCCGCATGTTTCCCACAAGTTTCGACGCCTTGGGATTCTTTTTCCAGACGTTTCTTAAAAGTCGGATGACTTTCAAATTTATGACAAATAATAAAATAGAATCGCGACTCAGCTGCGATTCTACGATTCTGCGATTAAACACGCCGATCCCAGCGATTTTACAATTTTCCGATCTTCAGTAGAAACGGGATCGCAAAGGCTACTGGGGATCGTATAATCATACGATCCTACGAGTAAACTCGCGATTTTGACTACCTTGCATATAGTATAGGTAGGTATTATATATTAGTTAATACTTCTAATAGAAGTAATGTAATAGGTTTTGGGTGTTCTAATACTGGTCACCAGGGCTACTGGAACTACAACAAATAGAGGTTCTTTATACATTAACAAAGATCATCAATATTGAAAAAAAAATTCTTCTTGGGCGCTTAGTGGAACAGAGAGACATCCTTGTCCAGGGTTGCAATTACATAGCTTTTTAATCGTCTTCTTTTCATCTCCCCACCATGATCGTAACAATTTGGCATCATATCATTGTCATCTTGCCCCTACCATATTTTCCTCAAAATCCATTTTCAATTTGTCAATCAGAAAAAAGAAACCTTCCTGATCGCAAACTGATAGGACCAGGCAGATTAGGCTGAGAATAATAGTACTACGTAATAAACGGCGTGGATGACATTTACAACTCACTTGTCAATTCGGGGGTGATATTTCCGATCTTAGAAACACGGGCCTGACATTTCAATATGACAATTTCAATATGATGACTAATTAAGAGACCAAAAGTGCGATTTTTCGTAAAAATTTCCTATCATGGAAAACAAGAATGGTCAATGAATCATATTAGTCAATTCTAATGTCTATTCCCACGAACTTAGGGCTTACCCACAGGGGTTCAGGTAACCTTCTCTACACACGAACTTCAAGAGGACATGCATTCGGCATCAAAATATCAGTATGCCGTTAGTTTGGATGCGGCGACTAAGTAGTTAAATCGCTACTCAGTGGCAACTCGACCAAGAACCGAGTAGCGAGTAGGATTGATTAATTTGGATAACTCGATGATTACTCCGACCTTTTTTTATTTAAATTTAAAAAATATATATTTTCCGAAGTTCTAGTATTATATTAGTCTTATAATTTATTCATATAGATATGAATAAAATAATAATAATCCTAATAGTGGAGTAGAAACAAATCCCAACAATTATATTGGTAAGAAAATAGACCCATACCTTGCGTGTTGAATCATCAATGGTCACATAGTAGTTTGACCCTCTCAAAAAAGAGACTGGTGTTGGCCTAAAAACATCTGTCGAAACTCGCTCCAGCTTCTAAGTTTGCGGTGTCTGTCCTGTCTTCACAAAAGAAACCTTCGTTTTCTTTCCAAGTAAACAAGGTTCACATAATTCAGAATCCACCTTTTTCAAACCTGGAAGCTTTCTCTTGCAACGAGCATCTTCATTCTCTTTTCACTCATGTGGTAAACTGGATGAATGTTACTGCATTTACCTCATCATCAGGAGCTTCAACCATGTATAAAGTACCCCTCTGGCGATTACAAGATTCCTTGTGACAACTTTCCATTGTCCCTCATCAAAATTAATATCAAATCCCTAATCATCCAACTTCCCAATAGAAATCAGCATCTTCTTAAGGCTTTGAATGACCTGAATGTCTTTCAATGTCCAAGTGGTGCCAAAAGAAGTCTTTAAGTCTATGTCATTGATGGAGTATATTCCCATACACCTTAGGGATATCATGATCGCCGATAGAATGCATTGAAGGCCCGTCAAAGGCGCGAAGGTACTAAGTCCACAATCCAAGGCTGACCCGACCGCGACCGCCGAGGTCGGGGAAACACCAAGCTCAGGAACCAACCAAACTCAGTGGATGACAAAGTCAACCGATCCCGACCCCGAGGTCGGGAGGACATCAGGCTCAGAGATCAATCAGACTCGGCAAGTTATGAGCCCGACCTCGATGCACCCGAGGTCGGTACCAGATCTGACTCCGGGAGTCAAGCGTGTGGTCAACGATGATCAAGCGCCAGACAGTCAACTATCCCCAGGACAAAGGACAAAAGGGCGGATCCTCTCAACACGAGCCCGAGCTCTCAGATATCGACCTCAGTAGTCCCCAAGGTAAGAATAAAGCGCCAAGTCCGTAGATGGGATCCGCAAAAATTTATCTCGCAAGGAGACACCGCCACGTCACTCTCTAACCTGAAGGAATATTCCAGGTTGTCCACGTGCACCCACACGGGACTTCTGGCGGGAATTCTGTTAGAAGAATAATCAATCAGCCAGCTATCAAAGGTTCTCTCTCCAATCAGCTTTACACGTGGCTGCTTCTCATCAAAGTAGGTTGTTAGTTTGTTAGAATAACTTTACACGTGTCCTTCTCCTACTAGACTAGCATCTTTGGCTTGGCCTCCAAGTATTTCCCCTTTCTCCTTAGTATAAATATCACCTTCCAACTTGTGGAAAGGGATGCTTAATCTATTGCACTCTTGAGACTTATATACTAAGGCTTTTTCGATCTGCACTTTCCGATCAATTCGCTCTCCTTCCTACTCTCATTCTCGGTGGATTCCGGCCACCCCTGGTTCGACGATCCATCAGTTTTTGGTGCTCTCGTTGAGAGTCGAACTGTGAACAAGTCAGATCCTCCCGGTTTTCTCTAGATCTATAACAAACTCTTCTACAACAATGGCTGGAAAGAGAACTCTGAGAAGTCGACGTGCTGCTGCCGCCGTCGCAAGGGTGGAGCCCTCGCTAGAAGCTACTGCTACTTCTGGCGCCAGAAGGGCCGCCAGGGGAAAAGAAGTCGCTGAAGCTTCTGCGGATCTACGCAGTCAGATTCAGCGTGCTTCCCCAGATCTGTGTCAACAGATCTCGATTAGTTGTGATGCAGCGACAATGTCGTCCGCACAGGTGATCCCACAATTCCAGAACCTTCTGATGGTGGATCCCTCTGCGGCGGTTGGCGCCCTCATCACCGGGTTGCAGCAGGTGCTCCCCACGCTGCAATCTCAGCCTGCGGCTACTGGGGCTCCACATGCCACCAGACCTATCTCACCGGCGAACTCCAGATCCCGGTCTCTGAGGATAAGCTCTATTGAGGCCCCTCTGGTGGAGGGGAGACCAACACAAATGGTCTATCAATCCCCTCCCCGCCAGAGGACAACTCCGGGGACCCACTCTCCCCCGATCCCTCAGGTGGCTTCCGCAGCACCTGTGAACGCTGTGCCCCTGGCACAACAAGCGGGGACTTCTCGTCCCACAGCGGCACCACAGAGAATGGCGCCGCCACCACCTCCACTGTCGTCCAGGTATACTGCACGCCGCGTTGATTACGGCTGCACCAATGATGAAGGTGTCTATGCTGTCACCACCGAGGACTCCTCGCAGTCCCCCTCCCTGCGACATGATGACAATCCCAATCCCTGGATCGAAGTGGGAAAACGTCCCATCTTCTCTAGATTGGGGGACAGATCTATGGCGAATCAACGCCTGTCTGCCAACATCCGGGGGATTAATCGGGCAGACTCCCCAGTTCTCAACATCCCCCGGCGACAGCAGCAACAACCTGGGAGAAGGACTCCAGAGCGGCAGGTTGAATCTCCACCACGGCGCCAGCGAAAGGTGGATCCGCGGGAGGAACAAATCCGCCTCCTGACTTAGCAGGTCAATGAGCTGCGGACCGCATCAGTGGCAGCGGTACCACCACCACCGCCCCAGCCAACGACACGTGATGCCCAGCTGGAAGCACTGACGCTCCAGGTCCAGCAACTCCAGGCTCAGATCAACCAGGAGCCTGTCACTGTGAGGGTAAGGACTACAACCCCCTTTACCACACGGATCATGCAGGCCCCTATACCCCCAAAGTATAAGGGGCCCAACATTCAGCTTTATGGGGGTAAAACTGATCCCCAGGAGCACTATACCCGCTACCAGTCCGGCATGTATATGCTGGGCGCTAGCGATGAGTATATCTGCCGTATGTTTCCCTCCACTTTGGAAGGGGAGGCATACGAGTGGTTCAATGATCTCCCCGATGAGTGCATTGATTCATGGAGGGAGTTAGCTACCCGCTTCCTCACTCACTTCGCCGCAGGGGTAAGGACAAAGAAGCATTTCTCCTACCTGCTGTCGGTTAAGCAGGGCAGGGACGAGCCTTTGAGCAAGTTCCTGGAAAGATGGAATGAGGAGACCTCCAAGGTCTATGGGGCTGATGACAACACCCGTCTCGCTATGCTCCAAGAGGT